GGGCTGGAAGGGACCTTTAAGATCACGTAGTTCCAACCCCCTGCTATAGACAGGGACACCTCCCTCTAGACCAGGTTGCTCACAGCCCATCCAGTCTGGCCTTGACTGCTTCCAAGGAGGGAGTATCCACAACCATATACATAAATCTCATATAAGTTTTTCTCTTAACTGAAGTTACATCTCTTTTGGCAGAGAGTTTACACCTCCTCTGTAATACAATATATTCTATGCCAGACATTTACACAGAAACATTTAAAGGAAAGCAGTTAGAAAATGGAAAATACACATAGCTATAAATCCCTACTGTAGACACACTCTATCTAGAGCTTCATTTCGTTTGATTTTTAGACCTCAATTTTGCCCTAAATCAGCAGGGGGCGAAGCGGAACACAGCTTAAAACGCATCAGTGGAGATGAAACCCAGAATCAAGTCTCACACTTACAGTTAAAGAAAGCTAGTATCTTAATAAAGTAGCTCTCTTTTTAGGTCAGAAGACAGAAGGAAAATCTGGAAATGTCATCAGTTACTCTTTCAGTTCCAATAGTGTCACATCCTCCTCCAAACCCCAATGAAACAAACAACTCCCTAAAATTCAGAGCCCTCTCAAACCCAAAGGCTGACAGAGGAGCACTATTTTGTTACTGCCCTTTGAGTAAGTCTGTGAAGAATCAGCATTTGTTCATATCTTTGGCAATCTTGCTTCTCCGACATGTTGATGATATGAGCATTTTGCACTCTACAAGTTAATACAAAGAGTTTTTCTTTTAATCTTTTTAACCTGCACTTTAACTAAATTTGGCTCAAGTGAAAACTTTTTGTTAGCCTTCGGTGAGCTTGTTGAGTAAGTGGACAAGAGACAAAGCTTTCAATCCTGCATATCATGCAATTCTTTTTTTTCTAAAATGCGATGGTTTAGAGTGGACAACAGTTATCCCACATTTGTCCTGCTTTTTCATTATCTGATTCTGCTCTTTTTCCAGTGTGGCTCTGCTGGCTCCAGACAGGAGCAAGCAACCTGCTTCCTAGTAGCACTTCAGTTGAGCCAAGATTAGACTAAATTCCATCTTTTTAAACTTTTTCTTTCAGAATCAAATATTTGTAGAAACAGAAAGCGGCTGTATGTCAACACAATCCTACAGGAAAGCAATTGGAAAAGGAGCATGTGTTCAAACTCAAGTCCTGAGGAATAGACTAGGCTGAGCGTTGTGAACTCTCAAAAGGAGAAATGGTGCATGGAAGGGCTGATGTGACAACAAACGTGAAAGAAACAAGAAGCTATATGTGCACCAAGAGTGCCATGCTTCTCACTTTGTGCCCCAAGCTTCTCTTTGTTGCACAGACCACACAACACGCCCCGTCCCTGGAAGTGTTCAAGGCCAGGTTGGATGGGGCCCTGGGCAGCCTGGTCTAGCATTACATGAGGAGGTTGGTGGCCCTGCATGTGGCAGGGGGGTTGGAGATTCATGATCCTTGAGGTCCCTAACAACCCTGGCCATTCTGTGATTCTGTGATCATATATCTCCTCAATGCTGACTCATCTGGAAAGCAAACTATTATCCTGCCCTCTCACACCATGTATTTACAATTCGGCCCACACAGGAAAACATTTCACCTTCCTCCTCAAAAAGCTTATCGTCCTTCTTTGGGAGATAAAAAGCAGACAAGATAGCACACCATTGATTATGCTACCAGAAGGTGCTCGGATGCCAGGCCTATGAGACAGTATGATAAAATATTTTCATTTTTAAAAAGCAGAAAATAAAAAAAAAAAAATGCATCCCAGTAGAATTTCTGTCATTCCTGCATGAATATATGCATGTTTTGATAAGCAAGATAAAGATGATCTAGTTACACTGTAGGCAGAATATATTTTCATTTGTCCATAAATTGCAAGCCAAACTTGAGCACAGACATTGCTTGCCTGGAAGCTTACCAAACACATTTTTCTTGAAGTAGCAAAGTACATCAATAATCTTCCTCCAAGTCTTTTATTTCTCACTTGCCAGTAATTACTTTACTTACTCTGCATCACCATTTCATCTTTGTAAAGATACACGCAGTCCCAAAACAAGCTCCTCAGCAAGCTTTTCAGCCAATACTGAACTTAAGCATCAAAAAATTCAGCTGTGCTTTTTATATATCTGCTCAAATATAATCAACGTTCTGATTTCTGAATTCAGATGTAACCAACAATAACACTGTGAGCATCTCACCTGTATGTTTGCAACTGAGAACAAAGGTTCAGGCTGACCCTGCCATTTCCTGACTGCTTTACAAGTAGCTCAGCGCCCTCATTTGCACAGAATCTTAAGGCAAAGAACTAAACATCTCCATTAAGAAGGGAAAATACTACTTCCTGCTGAAAGAGAAGCATACAGAGCAAGCGTTACACAACAAACAGCAGGAACATTTTGCTACATCATTAAAAAAAAAATGCTATTAGGAGTGCCTATGGCCATGTGAATGAAATGCTTAAGCATCAGTGCTTCAAATGAACAAAGGAACCACAATAATAGCAAGACCAGTTCAACATCCTCCCTCCAACAACATACAGTATCAGTTACCACAAATAAATATGTAAAAAACCAACCGACCTAACCTGAGCAATTAAACGGCAGCCAAACTTCAGTGAAAATCTCATTGTAACCTCAACATTTAAATGGTGACTTGTATCTAAAGCACACGAGTTTCTCTTTTAAGAACTCCTGGACATGAGTTGGGTTCTTCTGTGTGCCGTCAATGAATGAGGTGGTCTACAATAGCTCAAAAAGGCTCGAAGAAAGAAAGCCAGAATACGGGGAGAATAAGGAGAATGTGGGAAAATAAGAACATATAGCAGAATACCGGAGAATAAGAAAAGCTGATACGGAAAGCTCTGCCTCAGAGTTCAGGCCAAGCAGCAGCAAGAACCACATAAGCCATTGATAACAGGTATTTTCAACCTCAGGTCAAGGATACTTGCTATATGCTCTTGTCAATACACTGTTAACCATGATTGATTTGGTCCAGTGACAGATAATCTATTATGCACTCATACTCCAACCCCACTAAATCAAAGATAGCTTGTCTAGCAGAACAAAATGACACAAAATAGGAGAAAGCACAAAGACAAATTAGTAGCTTTCTTTTCATCCAACTTATCTCTCTACAAGAGAAGGAAACTAACAGAGCAAAAATTAGCAAGAAACTAATTAAAATCTTTATAGAGGATGTAGGGGAGGAAAAGGAGATAACTCCAAATAAAAACACAGATGGAAGAGAAGCAATAGAAGTCCTAGTGAAATGTCAGAGTTACAAATAGACTAAATATAAAGAACAGAGGGGAGAAAAGTAAACCAGAGTCAAGCTGTGTGGATATATTTATACAAACCCTTGGGGTGAGGGAACAGAACTAGGCTCATTGTTTGCCATCAGCTACTGTAAAAGGGGGAAAAATAGATCCTCTCAGAGTACTAATTAGCATAGCCTGCATGCTTGTCTGCTATTTCCTGGGACAGGCTTGCAGTGCCTGCTTTATTCTCTTCCATATTCTTTCCTCATTTGATGCAATATCTCTACACAGACAAGATACTGTTTGGAGACAGTATCTTCTTGCTATGTTTATCCCAAAACCGATCTTCTGAAGACTACCTAATGCCATCACAATCCACCTATACGAAAAGTGAGCCCATTCAGCCTCTTTTATCATTCACACTTATTATGCTGACGTTCAGTAACCCATGATAGTAACAGGCGACACATTTCTGTGAAGCAAACAATCTTCATTACTGTCATCCAGATACCCTTCGTCGGTTACAATGACTGGGGACAAATGGACTGAGCAAATATAAATAGCAGAGGGCATAAATAAACAAACAGGTAGAAGACAGGAACCCCGCATCACACTTAACACTCTGCTGAATAGCATCCCTTCCTGACACCCACCTGTCATCATACAGGTTGTGAAATAGCAGCTAGTTGCCCTGCAACAGATAAAGTGTGCTAGGCAAACCACAAAGGACTGCAAAGATAGCTGCAGTGTGCAACATAGCATGGCCCCAGAACAGAAGAGCCGTACAGGCTCTCCATCCACTCCTGCCCCCACAGGACAAGAGGGATGTGCCAGCATTAACCTATCTCAGAGCAGGGCTTCCCTTGGCAAAGTGAACAACACCTTCCAGAGCTGCACAAGCCCATTTCTGGATATACGAAGCACTGGATTGCTACGCAAGGGCGCGAAGAGCTGTTAAGCAAAATCTCCTCCTCAGGCTTTTTCTTTTAAAGGTCTGCAGGCATGGGCCAAAGCTAATTTCCTCATCCAACCATATCTAGCAAGAACAGCTCAGCCACATACAGAAGCTGTGGAATCCTGACAATGACAAAAACTTCTTTGAGAACAGTGAAATATTCACCCGGAGCTGCTCGTACCCCTCTCTGTGGATACAGGGCACCCAGCACTGCAGAGCAAATAGATATTATTTTACTTTGTGCAAGCACAGCATTTGTGACTTCAGCTCAGGTGTTTCCACCCAAGCAGTGCAGCCTGCAGATAAGTTTCGTGTTTCTTCATCGTTATTATTCCCTTCCTTTAGAGAACATACATACATACATAGACTTCTTTTTTTTAAATAATAAAGTATACTAGAGCTGCGTGTAAAATTTCTCCTCAAGCTTTGCAAAGTGTCATCAGAGGACGAGAAAAAAGCCCACCAGAGTACAACAGCGACTTACTTCACTTGGGTGAAGCCAGCAGAATCACATTTATCTCAGCTTTAAACGCGCTGCCAATTTGAAAACTTTAATGCAGCCTTCTTTTCCTTCTATTAATTCGAAACACTTACAGACTCCTTCCAGCCTTCACAGCACCTCCGGTATGCGGAGCCCGGTATTCTAGAGGCCGAACTACAGACAAGCTCTCAAGGAGCACGCGTGGATTAGCAAGTCAGGAAGAGCCCTCCGACACAGGAACGGGACACAGCGGAATTCAGAGCCGCCGCCGAGGCAGCAGCGCGCAACTCACTGTGAGAGAAGGCGGCCGGGACGAGAGGCGGGAAACGGGACGTCGCCGCCGCTACAGCGTGCCGGCTCCGGGCGCCGCACGGGAGTCCATCTGGAACCTCCGCAGCCTTCCTCAGGGCACCGCCCTGCCCCTCAGGTCGCCTTCCGGGGTGCCGAGGCGGGGCCGCGGTCCGTCGCAGCGCAGCGCAGCTCTGCCCGGCTCACCTGAGCCCCGCGGGCCGTCCCGCCTCAGCGCCGCCGAGGGGACCGGGGGCGGCGGCGGCTGCCGTTGCTGAGGCGCCACCCGGCGGCGGCGGCGGGAACCCCGCGTGGCGGGCCGCGCGGCAGCCAGCTCGTGCCCGAGCGTCGCGTGCGCGCTGCAGAACCGACCCGAGCTAACGGGGAAACCAGGAGCGCTGGGCGCCGCGGTTCCCCGCTCCTCGCTGTCCTTCCTCACCGAGGGCCTCGGCTGGAGCAGAACAGCGAGAGTGGGAAACAAAAAGTTGGTTGGAAAACTTTTGATGAGCCTGTGGGGAAGAAAGCAAATATACAAATAAAAAAGACTTCCAAGATGCTCCAGCCCGACTGCTCGCCCGTCACCAATATTTCCCGCTCAGCCACGTCCCTCAGCACGACGTCTAAACGTTCCTTGAACGTCTCCACAGACAGTGACCCACCAGCTCCCCGGCAGCCCGTTCCAGCACCTGGTTGCTCTTTCAGAGAAGGAATTCTTCCTGCTATCCAACCTGAACCTCCCCTGGTGCAACTTGAGGCCGTTCCCTCTCACCCCATCACTGAACCAGGCTGCGATGTGGGGGGATGGCCTGAGATATGGGAAGCGAGGGGAGAAGATCCTGGAGAGCCCCAGTAACAGAACTGAACAGACACAGCGTGCACCTCACTGCTGGGCTCCAAAGAGATGCTCTGCAGAGCTGTGCTCTGTATTATCCTACCATGTGGAGTTCGGGCCCTGGGACACCTCCTCTTAGAGTTATCACAAACAAGGAGCTAAATGTGAAGGGTTCTTTAAACGCTGCGGCTGTCTGCGCTAGGAGGAGCGCGGCAAGGCTGAGCCTCCCTGTTCAGTGCATGGCAATTAAAATAAGGATTTGTTTTGGCTCCTAACAGTAGCTTCTTTTTTGTTTTAGAAGGTTTCTTTTAAAAGCCTCTTTTCTTTAAGCTATTATCATAGGCTGCTCTTTTGTGTTTTCCATGTGAGCCTTAGATGTCAGCATAAGGCAAAAATCTATAACGATCATTATTTTCTGTCTTAAGGACTAGGAAAGAAGGGACTGGTGTCACATTATTGAGTTCTAAGCATTCTTGGCATTTTGTGTGCACTGTTAAAAAAACAAATAAAATAAAATACTGGAGTGGAAAATACTATTTCCCAATACCTGTTTTCAAAAATAGTTACATGTAATAAGCTTGGAGAATTCTGCTGTATTCTCCCTTGGTAAGATAAACGTTTCAGAAATGCACGAGTACATTTCTTGTGTGCTTAATAACTGAAGTAGCTCGTAATAGTTCTTATGGTGAAACCTCTGAAAACCGAAATGGAATGAAATGAAAGAAACTAATATCTGCCTATTTGGGCATCATTAACATAATGAAGTAGTAACAAAAATATAGGAAGGAGTTGGCACAATTTACCAACTTCTGGTAGGTAGCTAGGCCCAAGAGCATGTTCTTGTTATAGTAAAAGCTACTTCATATCAAAAACAAGTTCTAATTGCATTTTTGAAGCAATAGATTTAATTAATTGAAGCTACTGTACAGATGAAATAAAACAAAGAATTCCTGTTATACATATTCTGTTGCACGTGTATTAAACGTGCTGATAGGTCAAGGTTTTGTATTTACTTAAAGAGCTGCAGAATCATACCCTAAGTCAGAGCAGCAGGAACTCTGAAGAAAGGTTCAATTTCTGCTTGAACCTGACAAATTATTTTTATGATTTCAGCGAGAAAAAAAGAAGTACAAGAAGCCATGGCCTCCTAGGGCATGGGATTTCTCTTTGTATTTAAGGTTTCCATGAAATTACTGCTTCAAAATAGTCCAGTACTGTAAAAGCACACACTGTATTAAAGCCCACCAGAGGTTCTGCCAAACACCTCGCTGTCTGGCTACACTGACTCCTCTATTTTAACACTGCTCCTGCATTAATCACAGCACACGAGGGATTTTGAGATGTACACTGACATTTCTTTGTAAGTTCAGTACCTATGCCAAGTTTGTTTAACTCATTATTTGGCCTACTAGCACAGGCATTAACTGTGGAAGGACATACATATGTGTTTTACATAGTATGAACTAATTTCAGTGAAACTGTTTCTAGAGCCAGATCTAAAGCCAATGAACCAAAAAAAAGCCCTGCCATTTATTGAAGTGGACTTCCAATTACAACTACTGTTAAAGAATTGTTAGAACTGTAAGTCTTTTCTGACTTGTGGGGGCCCAGTGCTAAAACCTTGATTTTCAAGGCATTTTAAAATTGATGCCTAGGTAAGTCATGCTTAACAGCCAGAATGTGATCCTGCTGTTCTTACCAGTTTATTGGATAGGCTTCTTCTATAGCTTGTCTTTGGATTTCTTTTGGATGCTTTTTAAGCTAAGCTTTAGAAAACTCCATCTCATAAAGAAAAAAAAACGTTTAAATAGTAAAGAACATATATATGACAGCAATAACACAAATACATTACAGCCGTGTCAAATTTAGTTATGAGAATAATCACATAATCAAGATAAACAGATTTCAATACTGCAGACAAAAAAAACATATTTAGAATCTATCCTGTATAATATTTTGAAAAGCTAGAAATGAACCTACAGATTCTGAAATAACTCTAGGTGTATATGGCAAATGTACATAAGTTAGATGGATTAATGCATTACAATTATTCCTGACTATAAAAAGTATTTATTGGTAATTTTTCATTTTCCATTAAAAACCTCAGTCAAAAGACAAAGCACATTATAGTTTCTCTTGATATAAATACAGTAATTTCTATAAATAAATGTTCATTACATGAAAAATACCAAAGATGTAATTCATTTTCCTTCATTAATTAAACAGTGCATATCATGTATGGTTACTTTAAAAGTCACTAAACGATATCATTCAATTAATGCACAAGAAAAATGAAGTTGTAAGATTATGATTCAGTCAAACCTTTAAGCATGTTCCTAATTCAATTCCACTGACAGCAAATCATATACTTCCATTCACTTCCTGGTGGGAGCCAATCTTTTAACTAATTCATTTTATTTAACTGATGTAAGTAAAATACATGGAGAACACCCTTGAAAAAGCTTATGCATGTGCCAAGGTCTTCACTGCCCACACCTCATGGCTGTAGCTCTAAAAATTCATCCATACTTCAACTCAAAGGTTATTTGATTGGTATTGATGGCTCTTATTTTCTGCAGAGATATCAGTAGTGTGATGTTATATCAGCCTCGTAGAACTGTTAATGCCCAATAAAAGGATGTTGCAATGCGTACAAATCTCTACATCATTATCTTGAGAGTCAGTGTTTTAATAAGAACGTGAGAGAAAGTTTTCCAAAATGAGAAGCCACGTTTCCTCCTATCGCCTCTATATAACATTTCCAGTTTTATGCCTGGGGAATTTCAGGAAATGTCTTGTCTATCAGAGGGCTCAGCCTCCTGGAAAAATCCAAATTATATTTCATTACAGAAAGTCCTGTTATTAAAACTACTCTCATTCATGATCTTTAAAACTGACAATTCAGAAGACTGGGCCTCACTCTCCTCTCAGTTACATTAGAATAACCCCATCAACTTCAATTATCTTGTACCAGTTCAAAGATCAGGCACTTAGCAATGCCTGCTTGCTGCTATCTACGCAACAGAACACTGTGGGCATCAAGTGTAGCTTTTTTTCTGTAGGAAATGATTTCTCTTTAATACTTTAATAATGGGATCTGACATAGCAAGAATCAAAGGGACTTTTAAGAACTTCGTATTTGTTCCCTTTCTATTATTTTTTTTTCTGATATACCCTCAAAACTTTAACCAAAATGTAAAATAATGAGATCAAAACTATTTAAAATCAAACATAACTTGTCTAGACTATGGATTCATGTCTGCTGAAGTCATACTAAATAATACAAACCAAAGAGCCATAGCTTTGAGCCAAGTCTTTTGTGTATTTGGAAAAGCTTCATCGAGGCTACATTAAAATCTGTGTTAAGCTATGCAGATTTTTCTCTTCTTAACACATAAAATCAGTTATGTTATTCTCTTACCACAGTTCAGCTCCGTTCTAGTTATTTAGTGTTTAGTGTAAGGATATATCATGTCATATTTATTTTTTTTCCCATAATAATTAAAGACTTGGAGAAAATTCATAATCAAAGAAGAAAATAAAATGGTAGAACAACTGTTAAATAACTCAAATTGAGAATATTGAACTGCAAAACTGGAAAATTTGTGATTAGAAAGCAGTTATAGGCAGGTGCATCTGAGCACCTACCACTGCAGTGAACCTGTTTCTTGTTTTTTCAAATTCCTGTGTTTGGTCTCACTTTTGGATATGCCCTCCTTCTGTATATATTTTCATACAGTATAAAAATGAGGCTAGAGAAATTTCTTCATGGCTAGTCTTTTTTTTCTTTATCTGTTCCTGAAATTTGTTATGGAGGATGTTGGCAGAGCCATGAATCTGAATTTGAAAAAAGAACAGATTTGTTTTTATTACAAGGTCATGGTATAGTTGACTTAATTGTGCCAATTCTAAAAGTAATTTTGGCAAGGATCATGCCTAGCACCTCTAAGTTAAAAACAGCCTTTGATACGATGCTGATGATTTTATAATGCTTCTTCACTTTTTTTTTTTTTTTTTGGTCAATGAATCTTCAGCTATTTAGCATTCTCTGGATAGCTTGAGAGAGAGACACTAATGTATTCTAGCAGGAAAAAAATTGTACCTCTCCTCCTAAGGCTATCTCTGTGAATGTCAGGTAGTTCTAAAGGAGTTCAAAGGACTTAAAACCAAATTAAAATGAATACAATTTCTTAATACTAGGTAAATGGCATAATTCACCCTATTTCACTTCCATTTTTCCAATTTAGAATACCCCTTTTGTTTTTCACATAACATGCATTCTTGAACATTTAAACGCTTATAGCAATCTTCAAAACTCCGGACAGGAGCTGTGACAGAGAAACTTCACTGTAAGCAGATACTCACACCACATAGGTACCTATTTGAAGAACCTCGTGAGGCTGATCTTTTCCAGATGCATAACAG